AACACGATGCAAATTTACTTCTAGCTAATACCTGAAGTGGTCGTCTTATGCACATTTATTCTATGCTGTACACTCCTCCCCATGCAGTCATGCTATATGCAGGATACTGCTGGATTGTTCTATCCTGAGCACCTAGAACCAGACCTACCTTATGAGAGTAGCGTATGTAAATGCTTTTTGAATGAATGCATACAAGAACAGGTTGTAAAGGTCAACCACATCTTTCTCATCAGACCTTTACTTTCTCATTGCCCACCATGGAAAGAAGAGAAGGACTTGGGATCCTGAACTCTGACCTGAAAGCTTGTCATCTGGCTAGTTCTGGAACTGAGAATCATCAGAAACACTGCAGTTAGAGACCAAAATTTGTCTGTAGGAGCCTATAAAGGGCCAAGAGACAAAGAACAGCTAGGTGTTTGATGTCAGAACACATTCTCTTTGTGACTTCTGCAGCTGTTGGGTTCCATGATAGCTCTTAGCCCCTGGGTAGTCTAAGGCCCCAAATCAGAGCTTGAGGCTTTGGGATAGCTAGAGCCAACGAGGCAGCTAAAATGGTATCGATTTGAGTTGGAAAGTTGATGGATTTTAGGACTGGTGAAAAACCATGAAGTTTAAAGCCTTTATTGTTTCCAGAACCTCAAGACAAAGAGGAGCATAGAGAAAACAAACTGATAGCATGCTCCTGGAGTGGACATGCCAACCAGAGGTTTTACCACTTGGTTGACGATTTCTGCTGCTTAATCTAGTAAAGCTTTTAGTAACCTGGAAATTCCGTTTTAGTGATTGTAATGGGAAAAATAAAGCATGATGATTCTGCAGGAACGGTGCCTGCTAGACAGATGACCCCATTTGCCTGCTTACCCCGCTCTCATCTATAAGCTCTTATGACTTCACTGATTATTTATAATGCTTTAAGGCCTTTGCTTCTAGATCCCCAAAGGAAATGCTTTTTGGACAAGGTTGTGATCTCTTTTTCTGTTAGGTTCAGTTCTTTAAATTTGGAGATAAGTGTTTTCTGTTCACCTCATAGCCTGCCCTTTTAGAGAGGTTTGTGATCAGAGGGAAGTTGTTGCAATGGACAGATGCCACCCCGGTGCTGCATGCTTGAGGTATGGCAAACTCAACAGCCAAATAAGGGTCAAGCCCGAGGTCAGTTTATCCAAGCTGAACCTGCTCAGCATGAGGAGATACATATTTCTCTTTGCCCCGGTCATGATTCCTTTAAGTTAGAGTCCTCTTTGCTTAAACCTTTTCTTTCCATTTAGTATCGAGTTAAAATCCTGTGAGATTTATAACTTAATCCGGCTGTCTTTCTTTTAAAAACCTCTATATTAAAACTGTTCCATTTCCTCACATCTTCATATTTGTGGCTGCCATTTTCCTGACGTCAGAGCCAGATTCCCAGATGCCCCATCTCCCTAACCCTGCTGGCTCTCAGACCTGCCACAATGTGGGCCGTGCTTTTCCATTTGTCTTGGCATCCAGTTTTTGTAGTTGGTGTGCAGGGCTCCTGAAATAAAAGTGCACAACTGATCACGTAAAAAGATAAATTATTTCCTTGGTTAAGATGTATCACAAGCATTTGTGGGGGGTGGCTGATGGAATATGTCAAAAATTCTAAATATGCATTCATGATTTTCTCTGGTCCAGAATACTTTGAGGCGGGATGGAAAACCAGGCAACTAAGTTTGCACTCAATTAGGGGCAGGAGATTGTCCTGTATGTATTTGTTTTTGAGTGCTTAGTCTGTAAAGCAACCCTGTCGGACAGGGTAGAATGGCCCCTGTGAGTTTCTAAGACTAACTTTATGGGAGTAGAATGCCTTGTCTTTTTCCCACTTGAGCAGCTGGTAGCTTTGAACTGTCAGTCTTGCTCATAGAAGCCTAACGTGAAACCACTATGCCATTAAGGCTATCGGGTTCCTGTGAAAGGGAATCCACTCAGTGTCAGTGTCTGTAAAGGCCACTGAAATGGGGAGATGTGGGTGAGGATGAGATCGTGGGTAGAAGAATCAGTGGCTGAGGGATAAGGATAGAAGTTCATATATTTAGAAAGGGGCTGATAAAAATAGTTGTAGAAATTTTCCAGTATATTATAACATTTAAATATAACATGAATGTTTTATAAATTTGTAGAGTTGCTTGTGTTTAATTTGAAAGCACGATGCTGGGTTTAGGAGAGTCAGTGTGGGATAGGGATAGGGCCTATCTGGGATAGGGCTGATGTACATGAAGCTGTCATGTGGTGGTTGGTCCAGGTGAGAAACAAAGACCCAGGTGAAGATAATAACCATGGCAAGGACACCCATGCATTGGCCCTCTCAGCAGTCTTGCTATCCTCCGTTTTGAAACCCCCCTCCCCCTCCTCCTCACTTTGCAGACCTATTGCTAACTCATACTCACAATGAAGAATTTCACAATACACTTAAAATTTTCACTATCAATGTGTCTCATTTGGTAATTGTCTGCAAGAGGCTTGAAAACAGGAAATAACCTAATTGCCTTAATTTGCAAAAGTTTTACATGAAATTTGGAAAATTGGGACTCTGGGCCATCATTACTGGTGGACCAGCTTGAATTCTCATTTTCTTAACTATTACCATGTAGGGAAAATCTAGATAGCACTGTTTCCCTAAACTTTTAAAAAGAAACTTCAGATACTAAAGTACATGGGGAGAAAACAGAAACCACCAGCCAGTTGCCATGGCGTTGGGTTCTGCTAACGGAGACCCCACGTTTTACTAGGCTAGAACTGCACCTTGGGGTGTCAGTAGCTGGGATTTTAGAAGCAGCATGTCAAGCCTTTCTCCTGAGGGGTGCCCTGGGTAAACCAGGACCTACAGCCTCGTTGATTAGCAGCAAGTGCAGTAAACTCTTTAGAGGCTCTTAAGGTACATGGAGGGCTTGTTAAATGAAAGTACTCAACTTCCTTCATGATCTTTTTTTGGCTAGTAAACTATGTATATGAAAACAAAGGCCGCCTCTTTCCCCAACGGCTTCATGTTTCTGCCAAACTTAGTACCTCGCTATTAACTCTTCGAGCTCAGGGCAGGTTTACAATCTTCTAGATCGAACTATGTCAAAGTGCCTTTGCATGCATCCCTGCGGAGAGCACTAACAAGGAAAAGCAGTATCAACCGGCACACTTGACGCCAGAATTAAGAGGCAAACTTACGTTGAAGCATTATTTTTATAAACCTTAAAATTAATGGCTCTGTGTTGCTGGAATAAGGCCTTTTTTTCTCCCTCCCGAAGAGTTTCAGAGCCAATTGAGTCTATAAATAGTGCTCAGCCTGCTTGTCTGTGGTAGATTGAGTAGAGCAGAATTGTCTGTCCTTAAGTGAAGGGGAAGTAGCTTTACATTTTTAGTAACTGAATTGTTGGCCAGCAATAAAGGTAAGGGTCATGTGAACAACTTATTTATAACTTCTCTAAAGGTATGTGTGTGCCTCAAGCAGAGAGACTGTCTGGGGTGCTCTAAATGGAAGAGGGCAATCGAATCTTTTTCCAGGCCCAGCCTTCCCAGCTAGCTGGTGCAGTGGCATGATTTTTCCGCATCCCTGGGGCTGTCAGAAAGAGGGGTGTCAATAGATGGGCCCTTCCTTCAGTGAAACAGAATCTATGGCTTTCTGTTAGTGAGGGATGTTTAGCTGTCAAATCCTGAGAGCCTTCTAGACATAACTGGGTGAAGTTGGGGTCTCCTACTGGGTGGGTGTGTTCCTATCTATTGTCAAGTAGTGTAACCCCACTGAGCAGGCTTTTTGTCAAAATATCTTTTTCACAGATTTTCTTGCACTCAAACTATAAATAGCACTAAAAACAAAACAAAAATACGTCATCTCAGACTGTTGTCTGGTCACAATGGGAGAAGGGAAAGAGTGTAAAACATTGTCACGACATCCCAGAAAAGTTGTGTTGGGTCCTTTTGGTAGATGGCCGACATGGTTAGCATTACCGCTCACCCCAATAGTTAAATGACTCACAGCCATTCTCTAAGGGTGAGATTTTTGTTATGTAAGTAAGAGACACTCTGTTACTACTCATTTTCCGTTTTCAGACACTAAGTTTTATTACGTTTACATCATCTGTGTAAAGCAGTTGCGTGTACGGCTAAGAAAGTAAACTTTGGCTTTTGTGCCAATTCTGTGAGTCTGTCTAGTATATTTGGGCAAGTTGTAATAAGTGGGAAATAGCCCATTAACGGCATTGGAGGTCTCATAGCAGTACTAATTTCAAATCGTGCTGGGTTTACAATTTACATATTAAGAAATGCTCACTTGATTTTGTTCGGGGACAAAGCTGACATCCTACACCAGCATTACTCCAAACAATCCTATTTATTGGTCCAATTATTTCAATTGAAAGATGCTGGGTTATTGCCTCTTAGTCTATGCGAACAATTCTCAGTGAAACTGTTAGAAATCAGTTTGACTATAGTGGCAGTATAGCCTCACTGGGTTTAGATTGACTTTTAATTTTAAGTCCCAGGATTAAGGATCATTTGTAGTATAATGTAACAGTGTGGACAAATATAGCTCCTCTTAATGCCCTTTTGATATTTGGGGAAAAGAGTGTTTCCATGTGAAGCAGTCACTTATGAATTGCATGACCACCTTTTCTCACTATAAAATCTCATTCACATTTCTTCCCTTCTCCCACACCCTTAGAATAGGGCAGCATGCAGTATTCCACCTCATTTTAAATTAATTAATTATTTAAAGATGTGGTTGAAGGCAGTTCCTTAGGATAGATGCCAAGCCAACTAGTTCATATTGTTTTTAAAATCAGGCTCTTAATTAAAAGTGCTTACATTTGTGCAAGAAAACTACATGTTAAAATGAAATTGGAAAGATTAGATTGGAATTGCCTCAAATTCTATTAAGCCACACTGCATGGACGTGCTGGGAATATCAATACAATCACTGTAAATTTTGTACAAACTTGATTTGTTGCATTATCTTGCTCATCTAACATACGGTACTTTTTGTGTCCATATTGCAGACGGCAACTCCAAACTAACATGGCAGTCAGACTGTGTGATGTGGCTTCTCTGCTTAGAAGTGGTTCGTGGGCAGCAGAGCCTTGGACCGGGGTCTGTGGGATTTTTCTTAAATTCTGTAGGCTACTTTTTAGCATGTTGCAGGAGTGCTGAGGCCATACCAAACACTTGAACCTTTCATTTGGCATACTAATTATTCTCATGTTTAACCTATTTGCGGTATGGCTGTCATTAGGACTTAAAGCACATTGGAATTTTAAGTATAGCGATATATGTAGCACCAGAACCATGCTCTTGTATGCACCCTTTTCTATTCTAAATAAGGGCTTAGTGCAGATTCAAAGAGTGACAAGCTTTTTAAAAAAAAACAAAGTTTTGGTATGGTCTGAATACTAAGTTGCCGTAATTCTTTACATTCTGTTTACTATGTATTTTTTTGGTTACTAAATTTTGAAGTTATTTACAATTACTAATGCACCCCCACTATCACATCCCCCCCCCAAAAAAGTTGAGATTGTAAATCTGGCTGAGAATTACTTGCCCGGTAATTGCTGAAAGAATTTGCATTCTGTGAACAGTTGTGTTGAGCCTATCAATGGAATATGCATTATTTGTAAAATATAGCACATTAGTATCATTTTATTCTGAGCAGATGGTCCTATAGCTGAGAGATGCTATAATTTTCAGCCCACACAGCCTACTGCAGCTGTTCACTTGAATGTTGGCTTAGGAGCCCATTCTTGCCACCTGAACATAGAAATAAATGTGCAATTAAGTGAAGAGTGTTTGTTGTCCTTACCAAATCCTGCTAATTTCAGTCAATGAACATTTATATTTCCAATGCCATCTCAGTGAGCTTTAATCCAAACCTCACATTTGGGGCTTATAGTTTTTTCACATACCGTGACTTTTTTAATAGCGATTAGTTTTAATTGGCCATGACCACTCTCTTCCTGTAACTTCTCGTTTTCATAACTTCTGGGCAAAGGTAAACTCTTAAAGAATTTTGTTGTAGCAAGAGAGTGATTCATATCTATTATTCTACACACTGGAGCAGTTATATTTCACTAGGAAATTGGAAACCTCCGATCTCAGTTTCACGCAGTTTGTTCAGTATAACGAGACCCAAATTTTGAATGATTTCAGGGTCCCTGTTGGATGCAGATTTCCAAGAGCCTTTTTATCTTTAGTTTCCCATCCCCCAAATACTACGTGTGAGAGAAGTGGCTTGCAGAAATAACCACTTTCTTTGAAAAAGAAATGAAGCTACAGGGTTACAAATTGTTTGACATTTCATAGTCATATTCCAGATTTTGTTTCCTTTTGTGTGTGTGTGTGTTGTTGTTTTCTCTTAAATTATGGTAGCGCTGGTAGTCTGGTAATTTAATCAGATTCAGTTGATCCGCTGCTGCCGTTTGTTACAAATATCATTATCTAGGGAGTAGAGATTTCTCCCTACCTAGAATCCACTAATTTTTCTAAGACCATATACTTAAACAAGTTTTTTTCTATCCTTGTTAACTTTGTTTCCCTCTACTTCATTCTTTCCTTTGCCTCAAATCCCTCTCATTTGTTAAAACTTCCCTAAAACTAGCAACCCATTATTTCATAGTTGTCAGTTTCAGGAAGTGATCTTTGGTGGTGTTGAGAGGGAGATTGGATGAAATAGTTATTGCAGTGATTATTTGATTTTTGGATTTGCCCCCAAGTCTTGGCTGTCTTAAGTTAGCTACTGAAAGTTGCATTTGGAGAATTTGGGGCTGTGGAGTGTGATTCTTCTATTTGAATGTAGGGTTGGTTTTTAGGAGACTAGATTCAGCATTAAGTGATTTCTAGAGTAGCCTGAACAACTTAAGGGCTTTTCCCCAACTCTGCTAGCGAACTGATAGTTGGAGTTTCATAGACACCATATTGCTTATGTTTTCAATGGGCTTATGTGCTCAGCTGAGAATTCCCTGGGATCTGGTCTGTTTGCCAAAGTTGAAATACCTATTTGCATTGTTGTTTATTGAACTGGATAGACATCTTTTGCTTAAATCAGAGTTGAGGGAAAACACCATGTCAGATCATTTGGGGGTTTTATTTTGAATCTGAAGACCACTCGCCACTGACAAAGTGAGAGAATAGTTGGTGATCCTTAGCTGCCAAGGTTAAGAACGGCCTATGATGAACTAAACAAAGTGCTCATAGCTGAATTCCCCAGACGGTCCTGAGTATATTTTTTATTTCCCAACAAATAGCATCTGGTATTTTTATAGGGATAGAGTACAACTGCCCTGCAGGAGGCTGTAATCTTGACCATGGAAGCAGACGGCCACATCTTTCTCCTGCGCAGCCGTTGGTGTGTTCTGACCACTGATCTCAGTGAGCAGCCAAGCTCTTTAACCACTGTGACACCAGGGCCCTTTACCAATGGTAGAGGTAGAAGATAGTCAATCAAAATATTTTCAAGATGTAACCAAAACAGTACATGTTGACAATTTATATATTTTTGAAATACACTTGCTTCTTGATTTTAAGTTTATAGATGTCTGTCAGTCTGAGGAAATTGAAACTAAAACTCTCTGAAAATCTTTTTTTCAGTTATGTAAAAATTTTTTTTTGATTTTTCTTTTGGTAGCATGTTAAGTACTTCTGCTTTCCAGTATTTTAGAAAATAAATGAATTTAACCAGGGCTCAGTTCTGCACCCTTTAGCTTATTAAATTTCCTCAAGTCTGTAGACACTGCAGGTGAGTAAGTCGATGTGAACAGAATCAGAATGTGATTATAGTGACTGCTTAATTTGCAATTTAAATTGTGCTTATGTGCATGTATGGAATCTGTATGTGACACTTTTAACTGTCTTCTAAAAGTGGATAGCTAATATGAAGTTTTAACAATTAGCGTAGGAGTTGTACGTTATGTTGTAGCTTTGTTGTAATTTCAGCAGAGCGACCTGTGTTTAGTGACAAGTATTTAAGTTCTTGGATAGAATCTCTAATAGGTTGTGAAATATGAATTCTGACACTACTTATTTTCTCTCTCTTTAGCAGGTAATTGCTGCCATGGAAACACAACTGTCTAATGGGCCAACTTGCAATAACACAGCCAATGGCCCAACCACCATAAACAACAGCTGCTCGTCACCAGTCGACTCTGGGAACACAGAGGACAGCAAGACCAACCTGATAGTCAACTACCTTCCTCAGAACATGACCCAGGAGGAGCTGAAGAGCCTTTTTGGGAGCATTGGTGAGATAGAGTCCTGTAAGCTTGTAAGAGATAAAATTACAGGTATGTAGTGTGGTATAGATTACTAGCATTTAAAGAAGTGTGTTTCAGTGTGTGCAAAAATTACGTTTACTGCTTATGAATCATTCAGTGCTGCAATTTCTACTGTTTTACATAGCTAAAGTCTCTTCTCCTGACATCTATATTTTGGGACTTTGTTTTCTGAGGGTTTTATTTTTCCCTTTTACAACATAAACTATTTAGTGGGGGCCCATGTACTTTATCATCATCATCATGACCCTGGCAGTAGGTTTTTGATATGTTTCACAGGAAGGACCCCTCGTGGTGCATTAGTTCCACTCTCTCCCCACTGCTAACTGCAGGGGTTGACGGTTGGAACACACCAGCTGCTCTGCAAGGGAACGAGCCCATATAGATTACAGCCTGGGAAACCCTATGTGGCATTCCCCTTCTTTTCTGTGGGGTCCCTGAGTTGAAATGGGCTTGACAGGTAAAATAACTGGACCTTCAAATATTCTGGAATGGACATGAGCTTTGGTAAAATATTTTTAAAGGGGGTGTGTGTGTGTGTTTCAGAAAATGTCACGTTAACCTTTAATTTTTAGTTTACTGAGCTTTATATGATTTAACATTTCAATAATGAGATAATAAGGAAAATAAATAATGTATTTGGAGCCAGGAAAGGTTTTTTTAAATGTCTTTTCCCTAAAGTTTGTGTAATCCTTTTGCATATATATGCAAAGTAATTGGTAATGTTTACATTGTCGATTTTGAAGCATCTACAGTGAAATAGTTTGAATGTATTGAAAGCTTATGATCCGTTTCTTTACACTGAAAGTAAAAAAATTATGCATGCCACTGTTGTAAAGATAAAATTAAATGGATCGATAATTTGGCTTTGGTGATGGTATGCACTGAATATTACCAGGTGTCGCTGTGTCACAGCAGCTGACTCATGGCAAACCCGCATGTGTCGGAGTATAACTGGGCTTCATAGGGTTTTTAATGACTGATATTTTTAGAATTTGATCTGTAGGCCTTTCTTCAGAAACCCCTCTGTGGAGACTCAAATGTCATACCTTTTGGTTAGCAACTAACCATATTAATTGTTTGCACAACACCTTTTGGATGTTATTATTGGTAAGTGCCTTCCAGTGGGTTTTGACTCATAGCCTCATAGATAACAGAAGGCAACACTGCCTCATCCTGTACAATCCTTCCAATTATTTTTATATCTGATCCTATTTTTGTTGCAACTGTGCCAACCCGTCCCTTTAAAGGTTTTCCTTTTTTTCTATGATGCTTCTATTTTTCCAAGCATAACTTTCTCTAGAGAATGGTCTCTCCTGATAACATATTCAAAGTATGTGAGAATGTGAGACAGTTTCACCACCCTCTCTTCTAAGGAGCTGCCTGGCTCTACTTCTTCCAAGAAAGATTTGTTTATTCTCTATCAGTCCATGGTATATCTAGTCATTTTTCCAACACCATAATGCAAATGCATCATTTCATCTCTACTCTTCGTTATTCATTGTCCAGCTTTCATATGCATATGTGAAAGTACCACGGCTTCGGTTAATTGCAACTTAGTCCTCTAAGTGACATCTTAACTCTTCATGAAACTGTTAAAGGTGTTTTTTAGTAATTTTGCCCAATACAATGTTGTTAAGTGCCATTGAGTGGGTTATGACCCATAACGACTATGCCTAACAGAATGAAACACTGACCTGTCCTGCACCATCTTCACAATTGTTCCTATGCTTGAGCCATGTGGCAGCCACAGGGTCAGTTCACCCCCTCAAGGGCATTCCTCTTTTTTGCTGTCCTCCTTCTGTCTTAGCATGCATGATGTCCTTCTCCAGGGACTGGTCTCTCCCCATAACAGATCCAAAGTATGAAGTCTAGCCATCCTTGTCTCTGAAGAGCACTCTGGCCATATTTTTGCAAGACAGATTTGTTTGTCCTTTTGGTAGTCCATGGTATGTTAATATTCTTCGTCAGCAGCACAATTCAATCACATCAATTCTCCTTCAGTCCTCTTTACTCAGTGGCCAACGTTCACATGTATATGAGGTAATGGAAAATACTACAGCTTGAATCAGGTGCACCTTAGTCTTCAAAGTAACTAACATCCTTGCTTTGCAATACTCTAAAACAGGTCTTGTGCAGCAGATTTACCTAATGCAACAAATCTTTTGATCTCTTGACTGTTTCTTCTTGAACATTGGTTGTGGATCCAAGCAAGACAAAAAATCCTTGATAACTTGATCCTTTTCTCCGTTTATCATGATGTGACCCATTGGTTCAGTTGTGAGAATTTGGGTCTTCTCTACATTGATTTGTAATCCATACTGAAGACTACAATCCTCGATCACTACTAGCAAATGCTTTAATTCCTTTTCTTTACCAGCAAGCAAGATTGACCAGTGCACTACAGCCTTTGATTTCTTGACTGTTACTTCCATAGATATTAATTGTGGATCCACGTAAAATGAAATTCTTGACAATTTCTCTTTTCCCTGTGTTACCCTGATGTTGCTTACTGTTCCAGCTGTAAGGAGTATTATTTCCTTTCTGTTTAAGTGCAGTCTGTACTGAAGGATAATGTCTGGCCATGATCAGTAAGTGCTTCAACTCATCTTTCTTTTCAGCAAGCAATTTTGTATCTAAGTCGTCTCAGGGTGTAGGATGAGCCTTCCTTCATTCCTGATGTCTTGTTCATCTTCATACAGTCCCGCTTCTCAGATTATTTGCTCAGCACGCAGATTGAATAAATATGGTTCAAGGATACAACCCTGACACCCCTTTCTTGATTTAATTTTAAATCCCACAGTTGTCCCTTATTCTGTTTGAATGAGTGCACCTTTCTTGGTCTGTGGACAAAGGCCCCTGGGAGCACAATTAAGTGTTCTGGAATTACCATCCTTCACAATGCTCTCCATAGTTTTCTACGATCCACACAGTCAAATGCCTTTGATAATCAATGAAACACAAGTTAACAATCTTTCTGGTATCCTCTGCTTTTAGCAATAATATGCCTTATTCCACACACTCTCCTGAATCTAGCTTGAATTTAAGTCTCAGTAATCTGCTGTGACTGCTATTGGACAGTTTTCATCAAAATGTATTTGTGTGGTATTAACATTGTTCCAAATAATACTATTATTGGGCTTAAACAACACTATTGATAATAAATGACTAATATCAGTGAGATTAAACATAAGGACAGTTGTGAGGATGGCACAGGACCAGACAGTGTTTCGTTGCACATAGGATTGATCACTCTGAGTCAGAATAGACTTGCTGGCATCGAACAAAAAATAACAAACAATAATAATACCAGGTCATCTTTCTTTGAAATAGGCACAGATATGGTTTTTTCCCAATCTCTTGGCCAGATAGCTGTTATCCTGTTTTCTTGGCATAGAGGAATGAGTATTTCTAGGGTTTTATCAGCTTTTGGAAATATTTCAATAGTTGTCCATAAATTTCTAGAGCCTTGTTTTTCACTGATGCTTTCAGAAGAGCTTATGCCACTTCTTTCAGTACCATCAGTTCTTGAAATGATTGAATGCTGATCAATTATTTTTGATACAGTGACTTTGTATTTCTTATATTTTCTCATGTTTTGGCCGACATACTTCAAGATTTTGCTTATCGAAAATAAAAAGCAATTGCCATCAGGTCCAGCCATTTTGACTCATAGTAGCCCTATGTAGGGTTTTTGAGGCTATAAATCTTCCAGTAGTAGATTTTTCCCCTAAGGGGTTTGATTAGCAATAGCGAACAGCAGCTTAGAATCTTTCCGTACTTCCACCGGAGACTTGACTTTTTTCTTCAGTTCTTTCAGCTTGAGATATGCTGAGTCTCTTCTTCACTTTGGGTTTTTTAACTCCAGCTCTCTGCTCATTTCACTATACTACTTGACTCTTTAATCAACCCTTTGAAAGTTTCTGTCCCACTCTTACTTATTCCTTCTATTCATTTTAGCTACTCTATGTGTTCAATGACCTTTGGTTTTCTTAATATCTACTGCTTTTGATGATATAACACGACTCCTGGTTTTTGGTTCTTAGTGTCCACTGTTTCAAATAATGTTCATGAGATGCTCTCTAACTTCAGACGGCATATACTCAAGCTCATATTTTGGCGCTTTTGAGTTTTTGTTTTACTTTTCTTCATCTCTGACCTGAATTTGCATACGAGTAATTGATGGTGTATTCCACAGACGGTTCTTGTTTTGGCTGATGATGTTGAGCCATCATGTCTTTATACAGATTTAGTCTATTTAGTGATTTGATTTCTGTGTGTTCTTTCTGGCAAGGTCCATGTGTTTAGTCACTATATGTTGTTGAAAACAATGCTTTTTCAATGAAGTTGTTGATGGTCTTCCAAGATTTTATCATGCAGCTTGCAACTTTGTATTTTCTACGTACCAGTCCTTCTCTTTCATTTCACCCTCAGAATTCCAATCATCAATGATTTCTCAATGCATCTTGATTGCACATGTGATCAGTTTCACTCTGAAGTGATATGATTGAGTTTTCCATCAGTGGCTTTAGTGATTAGACATAGATTTGAATAGTTGCATTATCTATTCTTGTAGGTGTCCGGGTATAATCTTATTACAGACACTACTGTACTCCTTGGAATGCTCTTTGTTATGATGAATACACCATTCTTTTTCAATTTTGTCATTCCCAGCATAATTAAACCATCTGATTGTCTCATTGAAAATGATTGATCCTAGTCCATATTTAGCTCACTTAAGGCCTATGTTATTGATCTTTATGCATCGTGTTTATTCTCATTTTGAGATATACCCCATCAACAAATATGGGTCCCAAAAGTTTTGTTCTATGCATGTTATTAAGATCATTACTTTGAGAAGGCAACTCTTCCCTGGATGTATTTCAGTGCCTGCCTTCTGGAGGGATTTGATTTGTGGCACTATGTTTTTTTAATCATTTCATTAAGTGCTCATACAACTCTTATCACAATCCATACATACATCAATTGTGTAAAGCACATTTGTACATTCA